TTTTTATATTGAAGACCCAGAAACAGAATTATACCACCGATTACCAAATCATAAAACAAGCTTCCAGGCAGAAGTACGAGTAATAACGGAATGCGTAAATTGGATTAGAATAAATATGGCGCCCACAGCCCTTAATATATTTACCGACAGCAAGAAGGCAATTAGGGCGATATCAGGCGATAGAACTAAATCTAAGACCGTATTGGATTGTAAGAAAGCTTTAACTGCCTGATCGTATACCAGACACAGAATATGTCGGAAACTTTGAAGCGCTGATCCCAGATAGAATGTCTTGGTCAAGCGGAACATTATAGCAAATACCATTCGGAATCCGTTGTTACACGGATGGCTCTAAATTGGGGGACAAAGTAGGGCTGGGTTTTTATATTGAAGACCCAGGAACAGAATTATACCACCGATTACCAAATCATAACACAAGCTTCCAGGCAGAAGTACGAGCAATAACGGAATGCGTAAATTGGATTAGAATAAATATGGCGCCCACGGCGCTTAATATATTTACCGACAGCCAGAAGGCAATTGGGGCGATATCAGGCGATAGAACTAAATCTAAGACTGTATTGGATTGTAAGAAAGCTTTAACTGAATACTCTCCCAGAGGTAAGGTTCACATCATATGGGTACCAGCCCACTCGGGAGTAGTCGGTAACGAAAGGGCGAATGTAATAGCTTTAAAGGGAAGGGAGCTCGAGGCAGTTAACCTGACAAACGCAAAACCATTCGATGCAACAAAAGCTGAACTAAAAATATGGGTGAGAGAATCCCATAAGGCCTCTTGGAATAATGAAACAGTGGGTAGAACCACGAAGATCCTATGGGGTGACCCTGATGAGAGCAAGACGAAAAATCTCCTCAAAATGAGCAAGTCTGAAGTTAGTATGATGGTACGTATTCTGAGTGGACACACAGGACTACGAGCACATCTATGCAAAATTGGACGTGCGGATTCAGACGAATGTAGAGCATGTGGAGAGGACAGTGAAACTCTGGAGCACTTTCTTTGCCACTGCCAGGCATTCGTCGAAGTTAGATCCAAGTATCTTGGAAGTGATGTTATTCCGGAAATAACATTGCTGGTAAAAAAACGGGTTTTCATATTTTTAAGCACTTAAAATTCAGTAACTTCGTTGAATCTCAACCGATTTAGAAAGCAGAGGCTGAGGCCTTTATAATGACATATATGATGTTTAAGCAACCTAGAAAACTATGGGTGCATTTCATCGGGAAACATGTTTTTGATTTTAGCTTTGCACCGCTTTTAAAGTTTGGAGATGTTTGTTGAAAGTATTTTATATAGGAACCGTACTATTTATTAATTAATTATAAGCCTATGTTTATTTAAGAGTAAAACGCAACACTGATTTTAAAAATCCGTTAGCAATTGACGACATTATTGATATTTTTCTTAATACAAAATTGTTCAAAAAATGATTTTCTGAAGGATGCTTTATATCGGGGATAGGGTAAAATAGAGTCCAATCCTCATTAAATTTGGTGGAACTATTTATGTTTATATATAAGTTATTTATGCTGAATTACATCGTGATACTAATACAATTAAAATAATTATGGAATTAAAGTAATTTTTTGAAGTAGGATTTGCATGGGGGCTAGGGCCAAATATAATCCTTGGTAATACTGCTGATTCTTTAAATAATAAGGACTTATTTGACCCTAGTCCCCATACAAACCCTCCTTCAGAAAATGACTTGAATTCCATAATTATCCTTTTATATATCACGATGAAATTCAGCACAAATAACTTCTATATAAACATAAATCCTCCCACCAAATTTTATGTGGATCGGCCCACATTTAGCCCTATCCCTCATATAAAGCGTCCTTCAGAAAATCAGTTTTTGAACAATTTTGTATTTAGAAAAAGATTAATAATGTCGTCAATTCTTAACTGATCTAAAAAAAAACAAAGTTGCATTTTTCTCATTAACAGGCATAGTATTCTAATACATTAATAAATAGTACGGTTTCTATATAAAATACCTTGCAAAATCATCTCCAAACTTTAAAAATGGTGCAAAACTAAAATAAAAACATGTTTGCCAATGAAATGCACACATATTTTTCTAAGTTACTTAAACATGATTATAAAGGCTTCTAAATCCGTTCAGAAACTTAAAATCGGTTGAGATTTGACGAAGTTACAGACTTTTAAGTGCTTAAAAATATGAAAAACCGGTTTTTTACCCGTATTTCAAGATCTTGGAGGTGTTTGGGATATTTCAAAAACAGGTTCTTGTTCTACTCGATTCCACCTTTCAGAAAAATAGTATCACTTCCCAGGTATTTCGATTTTTGTTTATTTTGTCTCACTGTGTTATTGCATAATAATATTTAAAATAATTCACTTCTTAGTTTAATTTATAGTGTAAATTATAAATTACAATAAACATATGCAAAAAGTTTTCGTGAGAATTTCTTAAAATTTCACATCTCAAAACTAAATTTTTGCAATTCTCTAGAGAAATTAAACTTTAAAGTTCTTTAATTATAAAAAGTGCAAAATAGAAGAAAAAATGACAAAAGACGAAAAAGTGCTAAAAAGCATCTAGCACTTTTTTCTAAAAAAATAAGTGCAGCCGACGAAAAAAAAGTGCTAGAATTGCACTTTAAATGCCGTTATGGCAACACTGGCAAGCGTATTTTGTTTCGATAAGTAAAGCTGTTGAACGTGATTATATGTCTATACTATATTTGAGAAGGATGTTGCTTATATAAATGACAAATATGATAACGTTATAATTAAGGCTGTGAAACAAGATAATTTATTTGTGAACAGGTGTGTGCTGCAAATTTTAAATGGCATGATCGATATGGTTTTTTAAATGCCAAAAGTTTGGACCTATTATCGAAGGATTAAATAGTGATTGGTTTAGATTCTAAGGGGAGTGATTCAACAAGAAGGTGTAGAACTTGTATGTTGAGTAAAGTTATGTTAGCCCATTTTCTCAACAATATTCGTCAACATCAAATGATTTGCTAGAACTGGTGCACACAGATGTCTGTGGACCGATGAAGGTTCAATCTATCGGTGGATCGAGATATTTCCTAATTTTTATCGATGATAAATCCAGGCGTACCTCTGTTTATTTTTTGAAGCGAAAATCTGAAGTATTGGAGAAATTTAAAGTTTTTAAGGCACAGTTCGAACGTCAGACTGGCAGAAAAATCAAATGCATTCGTAGCGACAACGGGGGTGAGTACACTGGTAAGGATTTTAACGATTATTTGAAAGAGTGTGGCATAACATAATTGACTGTACCCTATACGCCCCAACAAAACGGCGTTTCTGACCACTTGAGAACATTTGGATGCTTGGCAGTGGCACTTAAAAAGCCACAAAGGTCGAAATTTGAGGCCAGAGGTGATGAGTATATCATGGTCGGTTACTCATTGGTATCAAAAGCCTATCGGTTATATAATATGGCAACTCATGATGTTGTTGAACGTCGTGATGTCGAATTTTACGAACCAAAATGGGGATGATTATGTTCCTGATCCTAATGATTTTGTTATTTTTAACTTTGAGCAGGGAAACGAGCAACAAGCTGTTGATTTCTACGAAACCCAAGAAGATAGCTGCAGCGAGCATGATGAAAATTCTGACGGTGACGAAAATACAGAGGATGATTTTCATGGTTTTAAACCAGGTCCGGGTAGACCCCAAATTATGAGAAGTGGTGAAACTGGTCGACCACGGAAGGTGCGAAATTTGATTGGCAATTTGTGCAATGATTTTATTCAACAAAATTTCAATGAGGCGATATCACGTGGTGATAATTTCAAGTGGAATGAGGCTATAAAGATTAAACTTAATGTCTTGGAAAAGAACAACACATGGGCTCTGGTCGATTTACCAGACGGTCATAAAACCATTGGGTGCAAATGGGGTTTTGCCAGAAAACGCGGTGGCAATGGTGAAATAGAGCGATACAAAGTGCGCCTAATAGCCAAAGCATGCAGCCAGAAGTTTGGCATAAATTATAGGGAAACATTTTCTCCTGCGGTGCGATATGCTACTATAAGCGTGTTGTTGGTGCTGGCTGTAAAAAAAATTACATTTACATCAGATCGATATTAGCACAGCATATTTGATTGGTTACCTGAACGAGGAAATATACATGACCCAACCAGAAGGCTTTGTTAACAGAAATGACGCATCTAAAGTCCTGAAACTAAATAGATCCTTATATGGTTTGAGACAAGCCGGATGAAATTGGATCGAAAACTCGATAGCGTTTTGAAGGTTTTCAGAGCATGTGAAAATGAGCCATGCCTATATAGGACAACAGTTATAGCTGACATGATTTTGGTTGCAGTATACGTTGATGATTTTGAAGTTTAAATTCAATTTGGCGAAAATATTTAAGTTTCCGATAGAGGGATGATCAGTCATTTTCTTGGAATTCAGATAAAACGTGATGGTGAAGAAGGCGACATGAAATTGTATCAAGAACAGTATGTAAATGATCTTCTGAAGCAGTATGGGATGGAGAACTGTAAGTCCGTGTCTGTACCTCTCGATCCGTTTTTGGACACCCATTGTACGAAAGATTGTAAGACAGTTGTTAAGACTATCAGTCAATAATTGGAGCTTTAACTTATCTCGCTATAACTTCTTCTTTTTACATGTTCATTCTTTATACGTTAGTAACTTTTGTATTTTGTTCAACTTTGTATATTAGTGTTAAATAAAAACTCTTTGAATAAACTTCAACAAATTCAACACTGGGAAACTATTATAGTTTGAATATACAAAATCGTTAGGTGGGTTTATTTATATAGCTTTTAGGCAAAGCACACTGGGTATAGCTAGTGTTTAATAACAATGAACAAATAATGTGTAATTAGGGCATATTTTTCATATTTTTTGGTATACGATAAAATTATAAATATAATACTTACCCCAATAAATATTTCTTACCAGTATTTTATAATACTAGCATATACAAACTATGAAATTTTTGAACTACATTTTTCTTTTAATTTTTATTGCATCGTATAAATATGCTGGCATATTCAATAATTAATAATTTGTTAATTTATGAGTTAGTACGTATATATGTATGCATGATTTTTTTTGTGGAAAGTATATAAATAATGGAATTACTATATATTAATTTTATAAAATATTTTATTTACATATTATAAGCAACATATATTGGATCTAATTGATCAGCTAAAAATCCGTCACGTAGATGCATTCGTTGCTTTTCTCCCCTGCTATTAATTGGGACAACACCTAAAATAGATTAAAAAAATATAAATATAGAAATCAGATTTCGCCCAAATATAATCAAATTGTATTAAATTTTACAATAACATACTATATTTATATAATAATGCTCCAAAGATGCTCTTTTTTTAAAGAAAAAAAAAAATAAATAAATAAAATAAAAATAAAAATAAACCCAGCAAAAAATGTGGGAGTAGAGCATGGTGAATGTAAATTCAACCTAAAAAATATCTTTAAAACTTCAAAAATTAATTCAGATTGTTAATTTAATCAAAGAGAATTATGTGTTATTAGAAAATATTTTGATTATTATTATTATTATTATTTTATATATTCTTCCATATTTATTATAATATTTTCCTTAAAAATATATAAAATATCTTTCAAAAGTACATACAAAACAAATAGCTTGAACCAATGAAACACCGTTTTCGAATCATCGAATTAGCGAATTAGATTATTCGGAATTCTCGCATAAACACATGATCGCCAATGATACACTGATGTTAAATTCATGCATGTTTCACCTAAATCCAATCACTTCGTCTTCCCTTGCACCTCTAACATGTAACTTATTGATGTGAATGTTCTTTGCGCATAATCAAAGTCTTTAGCTGAGAAGTTGGAACAATAATTTGGTGAAGTTTTATTAAATTTGGAGGTTGTGATAAACAATAAGCAATTACAATTATTTGTAAATGTAAGTGAAGTTTTGTCAATTACAATTACTTGTAATTGTAAATTAGGTACTACAAATTACAATTTTATGTAATTATAAAGGGAAGAATTTACAATTACAAGTTATTGTAATGGGAAAAACTTCCATAACAATTAAAAGTAATTGGTTATTGTTCAATTACACATTACAAATAATTGTCTTTAACAAAACTTCACAATGAAAATATTGTTTTGAACAAATTATACATATGGGTAACTTTTAAAATCGATGTCTTCTGATTTGGATGAAATTTTCACCAAGGTGAGGATAGTAGGCCAGACACAAATTTTCAGCCCTGTTGGTCAAGAACTGACGGATTTAGAGGGGGTCAAAGTTGGACATTTTGGTCATACAGGGTTTTATTCAAATGAGTGTAACTATTCACCTATTGGTCCTAACAAAAATTGTCCAAAGGAGTTCAGATAGCTAGAGTTAAAATTGTTGAATGAAAATATTTTTCAATATATTTTTCTGTTATAAGGAATAATTAGGAGTTCTTCCTTTTGTATAGAATACTGTTGTATCTTAGCAACAAAACTAAATACATACATATCGCTTATTTACTACAAAGAGCGGCATAATCCAAAAAAGTCGTTTTGAGAAAAATGGCTTTGAATATTTAATGAGTAAAATTACTATTTTTTTAAATAACTTTTAAACAAAACAAGGGATTTTAAAAAATAAACCAGACTCAGATTGTAGAAGTTAATCTGTTTCTCATCTAAATTGAAATTTAATATGAAGACGAATGATATTTTTTACATTAATTTTTATGCATTCCAGAAAAATATTATTATGTACATTCCTTTGTTTTGGAAATTGTGCTCTTGTTTTTGCAAATTGTATTTTTGTTTTAACAAATTGTTGAATGCTATCAACCAACTAAATTAAATTTTTGTATTATTTATTTATTTGGAAATTCATAGTACTTTGTCACTCGTTAATTATTTGACATTTTTTAAAACAATCAAAATTAAGCTTAAGATTGTAGAAATTCAATTTTCAGATCTTAAGAATTTTTTTAAGACATCTAACCAATTACATTTTTCGATTCTTACTTTTACTAAAACAACAGTTCTTCAATATATTCAAAATAATTTATTCACAATAAAATTGGAAATGTCTGGCAACGCTATGACTGAGTGAACGTGCAGTTTTTTATGCAGCTGATCATTTTTATTTTTTGTACTTAATTTGATCTTTTAATTAGATTAAAAATTTATTTGATTAATTAAATTATCCTCTGGAACTAGCTCTTTGAAAGTTAAAGTGTTTTATGTTTTATGCTTTTTCACATATTTATAAGAGTGTTGCTTGCTGTTGCTGTTGTTGTAGTTGCTGTCGAGTTTTAATTCATCTGCCAAATTTTTTTCTGGGAATTATGCCTTCGACTAGAATTTTTAAATGTGTTGTCTGCTCAGATAATATTTGTAAAACTCAACCAAGTATTCAGTGCTGCTCCTGTAAATTATGGCTACATGTCAAATGTTCAGGCACTAATGAAAAGGACTTGGCAGGTTTAAAAGGCAATAAATATACATGCGCTAACTGCAATAATCAGCCTCAAACACCCTGTTACCGACAGAAATTTAATAATAACTTAAAATACAACCTTGAAGAAAAAATAGCACTTTCTAACACTGTTAGATTTGTATGGTTGTATGTGCATTAAAATGATCTTTTGAAATGTCATTTTAAACCACATTTGTAGCACAAAAAGAAAGATAATTGAAAACTAAGGTAATAAAAAACTTATACTAAATTTAAATAATTTTTTTTAATTTTAATTCATTTTTATTTAATTAAATTGTGATTAATTACATTTCATTTACTTATTACATTTCATTATATGTTTAAATATTGATCTTAAATAGATTAAGAACCCACGAAGCCATTTATGGCTTGCCTGTAGGTCAGAAAATTCTATTATAAATACATAACTATAAAGTTAATGTTGTGAACGTATATAAAAATTTTTTAGATCTTTCTTTTTCTTGAAATTATTTCTAATATTTAAACAAGTAAGAAAGTATAGTCGGGCGTGGCCGACCATATGATACCCTACACCAGCTATGAATATTAAATGTGATTTATTTTTCATAATAAAGCATTTATCTTCAATATTCTCTTGTTCCGATACATTTAAGCAATTTATGGATGAAAAACTAATTTTCTGAAAGATGTTTTATATGGGGGCTAGGGGCAAATATGGCCCAAGCCCGATAAAATTTTGTGAATATATTTATATTTACATAATATTTTTTTGTGCTGAATTTCATCGCTTTATTTGTGTTTATAAGTTAATTTGGGACATTCAAGTAATTTTTTGAAGAGGACTTTGTATGGGAGCTAGGGTCAAATGGGGCCCAATCTTTATGAAATTTGGCAGGGTCGTCAAGACTTCTATAAATCTTAGTTGTGCCGTATTTTATCGATATATCTGTATATTTAACATAATTATGAGCTCAGAAGCCCTTTTCGGGGGGTTATGTTCTATGGGGGCTAGGTGAAATAATGGACCGATTTTAACCATTTTCAATAGGCTTCGTCCTTGGGTCAAATAATACGTGCGTGCTAAATTTCATCCAATTATCTTGAAAATTGCGACCTGTACCTTGCGCACAGACGGACGGACGGACGGACATAGCTTAATCGACTCAGAAAACGATTCTAAGCCGATTGGTATACTTTAAGGTGGGTCTAGGATGAATATTTTTGTATGTTACAAACATTAGCACAAATCCAATATACCCTCCCCACTAAAGTGGTGAAGGATATAAATATTTGTTGGCAAATTATTTACCATTTTCGGCAATTGAATTTCTATTTTGGCTTTTCCATAATTGTTTTTATACTTATCAGGTTTATATCTTCCTTCCGCACGTAATCTGGTATTGTACTGATGGTTTATTTTTTGTAGATATCTGCTATCGTGTTCAAATTTGTTGATCAATGTGATTTCATATATTCTTTTGATGTTTAATATACATAGTTCTTTATACCGAATTTGGAATTCTGCAGTGTTGATTATGTTGTTTCTGTTGTTATTGATGTTTGTGCTGATATTATTATTGTTGTTCGTGCTGTTAATGTTGTTATTTGTGGTATTGTTGTAATTGTTTGTATTGATGTTTCTTCTATCAACTCTGATATTGTGTGCACTGATGATGTTTATGTTGTTGTGTGTGTTATTGTTTATGGTTGTGTTATTATTGATGTTAACGTTGGTGTAATTGTTGTTTGAATTGATATTTCTGTTGAATATGTTTATATTGTTTGTGCTAAGGTTGTAGTTTATTGTGGTGTCATCGTAAGTGTTTGAGATGTTGTTTATAGTAATGATGTTATTTGTGTTTGAGTTTTTTTTTGTAATTGAGCTATCATTACCATTGTTGTTTGTATTTATAATGGCTCTATTGCGGTTTATGCTATTGTTGGTGTTATTATATTTTATGGATTTTCTATAGTTTTCCAGTAGTATTTTCAGTATTCTATTTTGGGAATGTTGAAGAACGTTGCAATAGTTTGAACTGCCCCATGCTGTGATACCATGTCTTATATATGATTCTGTCAGCGAGAAATATGCCTGTCTTAGTACGCTGTAAGTAGCTGAGTTGCTAAGATGATATAGCATAACAGCTGATTTACGCATTTGTTTTTGAAGTTCTTCAATGTGTGTACGCCATTTAAAGTTGTGATCCACATACACACCCAAGTATTTGTAGTTATTTACTAACTCGATTTGTGTTGTGCAGTTGTCGTTATCGTGTAAGTTTTCATTGTGGATACAATCGATATTGTGGAACTTTAAGGTTATATTTGTGTACCTGAAATGGCGTGGTTTAATGTGCATAATTTTCGTTTTGCTGGCATTAATTATTAGTCCATTATCATGGCACCATTTCGTTGCAATATTAAGTTCGTTTTGCATTATTTTGGTTGCTGTGTTAATATCTTTATTTGATACAATAATGACGGTATCGTCAGCGTAAGCATATGTTTTGCTATTTCTTAGGATGCTAATTAAGTCGTTTGCATATATTAGATATAGCAATGGACCCAATTTTGACCCTTGGCGGACTGAGTAACGTTGACTTCGGTACTCATATTATCGCCTACTTTTACTCTAAATTTCCTACATTTTAAATATCCTTTAAAGAAATTTAGACAGTTACCTCTTATTCCAATTCTATCCAGCGTGTTTATGAGTTAATTGTGCTTCAAGGTATCGAATGCTTTGCTGAAGTCAACAAAAAACGCTAAGCAATGAAGATTTTTGCTTAAACAA